GGGAACATGGCCACCCTAACCATTAGCGGAGTCCGGGCTGAGGACGAGGCTGACTATTACTATCAGTCATATGACAGCAGTTATAATCCTCATGGTGACACAGGCAGATGGAGAAGTGAGATCCTAACCTCCCTGCCTGGCCGGGCGCTCACTCCACCCGCCTCGGAGCAGCTGGAGGGCAGGCCTGAGGCTTGGGCATCCTCTCTGGTCCTGGCCCGGCTCCTCCAGGGCTGGACACTCTGTCCTCTTGGGACCCTGGTTCATCCTGATGAAAATGGAGAAAGGTGTCTGCTCTGAGCTACAAAGGCTGCTGTCAGGGTTGAGAGGAAAGGAAAGTTTTAGGGGTCATGATGTGGTCCAGGGCCCGAGTGTGATCCCGTGTCTCAGGAGAGCCCACGCTCTCTGAGCCGGCGGAGCTCTGTGGGGATCCGTCTCCTCCTGGTGGGACCCGCTGTAGGAGTCCTGGGGCTGGGTCCCCTGCTCTCCTGGATGAGGCGCCCCATGTCCTGCGGGGCTACCTGCAGCCTGGAGAGGCCAGAGACCTGGCCCTGTCCCCTGGGACCCTTCCTCTCCTGAGATTTCACAGAAACCGCAGAGGAAGTGCTGAGTCCACCTGGCTTCTCCTGGGGACACCCTCCTGGACACACTGTCCTCAGCTTGGACCCCAGGTCCCAAGTGCCCAAAATTACTGTCTGATGGGGGCAGAGTTTCTGTTTGGGGTGATGAAAAAGCTCTAAAAATAGATCATGGTGATGGGTGCGCAAAGTTGTGAATGTGTTTTAGTACCACTGGATTTTCACTCAAAAATGATTGTATTATCCAGGTTTCTCCAGACACAAAACAAATAGGATAGGTATGAATAGACAGAGATTTATTGTGTGCAATTTTTTTATGTGGATTTATTATGAGGAATCTTGCCATGAGGTTTTGGAGGTTGAGAAGTCCCAGGAAGCACTGTCTGCAAGTGGACACCGGCAGAGCCAGGGGTGAGATTCAGTCCGAAGGCCTGAGAACCAGGGAAGCTGATGTATGACTCTCAGTCCCAGGGTGGGAGACCGATGTCCCAGCCTCCGCGTCAGGGAGGAGGGGGACTCTACCTTCCTTGGCCTTTTGTTCCTCCCAGGCCAACACGGGGAGGGCCGCCTGCTTCACTGAGCCCACAGGTTCAAATGCTCATGTCCTCCAGAAACACCCCTGGACACCCGCAGAAATAAATGTAAGTGGGACCTCGGTTTCCGAGTCAAATGGACACACAAAATGAACCATCACGGTGATTAAAGTAATAACTCTTATGTATGTATGTTTTACAATATTTTTTAAATTGCTCAGTCTGAAATAAAGTACAGGAATTTGAATTCTGAAGTCATTTGACCAACAAAGCAGAAGAAGAATTGTGTAGTGATCACCCATATACCCTCTCCCTGGTCGTAACATGGGTTACATGGTGCCCTGGACAGTTACAGCCTTTCTCTGTCTCCATATATATGTATGTATGTATGTATTTCAGAGAATTCACATTCATCGGTCCAGTCCACAGCCGCCGCATTCCCAGGTGCCCAGAAGTTTATTTTAGCTGTTAGTTTTGTTACCGGATAAGATCCTCAAGGTTCCCGCCCCCACATTTGGTTATCACTTCTCTCTGATCCAGCATTTATCAGCTAAGATTCCTTATGACTCTAGGCTATGGGATCTTTTGCAAAAGTTCCACAGAGAGGAGTGTGTTCACTGTGCACAGGAGGACAGTGGTTCTCTATTGTGAGAAATGCTAACAGAGCTCTTCACACAGACATGAAAGGATCAGAGATAGTAATTACAGTCATTCTAAGAAATAAGAACTATAATAAAGGCAACACATAGGTTAATTTTAAAAAGGCTGGTCTTAAGGTACTTTTGGTAAACCTGCAGGCCCTACAGACCCCTGAAGACTCAGCTCTCAACCAATAGATTGGCCATGAGTCACCAGTCACTCCCACCTGCTCAGGAGAATGAGGACGAAGCATCACTGCAGCAGAGGCAGCCGGACCCAGCCAGGCCCCTGAATGGCCAGGCAGCCCTGCATCCCCACAGATTCTCCAGCTTAATCTGGGGTACAGCCCCGCTGACCACCCCCACATGCAGGCTGAGGGGGCTTCTATTGACAGAAAGGATGTGGTAGGGATGACAGTGATCCTGGGGACCCCGTCTCTCCTCCCAGCCTGGCCCTCATGCTCCCCTCCCTCCCTGATGAAGTTCTGCCCCAAAGGGCCAGGGTCTGAATCCAGGACCCCTGGGCTCCATCCTGGGCTCACCCCACATTTCTCTATTAATCTGGGGATTTACTCTCTCTGGGCCACAGCTTAACCTGCTATAAAATGGGGAGGTATGTACTGACCTTAAGAAGTTTTTTTCCAAGTTAAATTATAAAAAGGCCACCAAAGTGTATTGTTAACTAAAGGGGGAATCAGTGAGTTATGAGGTCCTAGAGTTTCCTGTCGTCACCCTGCAGGAATCCGAGGAGAGGGGTTCAGCCATCTGTATGATTTCTGGATAGAATCCCAGTGGAATAGCAGGAGATCCCCAGTTTCCTTAAAAAGGCAGACTATGCTAAGGTAGAAATGCTAGCACCACAAACTCTGAGAGGTGTGAGGTGACATAAAAAAATAAAAAAAGGAGAAGAGATGGTGGAAATCATGATGTTGATGATGGAGATGATGGTGATGATGGTAATGATGATGGTGATGAAGATGATGATGATGATGGCGGTGATAATGATGATGATGATGATGGTGGTGATAATGATGATGATGATGATGATGATGTAAGGGCTTAAATGACCTCAAGTGCCAGGAACATCATCACTCAACTGACCTCCTGGGGAGGAGATAGTATCAACCTTGGTTCCCAAATACAAGGAACCTTGGGTCCTGAGGGGATTACACACGTTGCTATGGAACTTGACACTTTGCAGCTACAGTTCATCCTGTACACTCTACTCTACTAACAAAACCAAAGGGACAGGAAGGGCATTTCTACCCTGAGACATGGTTACAGGAATAACAATTGCACTGTGTAGGTGACCTCTCCGTGCTGGGCCGGGCAGGGCAGGGGTCACAGCTGCTCAGAGTCAGGGCTGGACTCCCTGGTCCACACTCTCTCAGGTGGTTTTTGGGGTGACCTGAGGGAGAGGAGCCCCGGTCTGATTCTACTCCACAGCAGGGGGAAGCAGAGCACAGCCAAGAGCATCAGGACAGAGGGTGGGGCTGCCCAAGTGGAGCCCCAGAGGGAACCAGCCCTCAGGGTCCACCGGTGTCCAAGGTTCAGTGCTCGGCAGGAAGTTGGGACTGACTGTGCCATCCGCTCAGGACATAGTAACCATATTAAAGGGTCTCATTCACAGTGAACCCCAGGACACCCAGTGAAAGGGGCACAGTGGCCACGGCCAGGATGCTGCCAGGCTGACAGCCCCACTGGGCCAGCCCAGGAGAGACCACTGGATGGTTTCCAACAGCGGTCATGTGGTCAGACATAAGGAGGGTGACTGTGACCTCAGACCTTGGAGGCCAAGTCTGAGTTTTTGGACATGCGAAGCCGTGGAGGAAGCTGGGTGACAGTCACCTGGGCTGATGGTTTGGGTGACTCCCATCTCAGTAAGGAGCCCCAGGGGGGTGTAAATTTGCATAAACCCAAACCCTCACTGCCCCCCTCAAAGCTCTGAGAGGGAATAAAAGGATATGAGTAGAACCCAGAGCTGCTGTGGTGTCTCGGAGGCAGAGCTCAGGGCGTCCACACCATGGCCTGGACCCCTCTCCTGTTCCCCCTCTTCATCCTCTGCACAGGTGCTGCCTTCCGGCCCTGCCCACAGGCTCAGGCCCCCCAGAACCCTGGGCTGGGCCTGCCTCAAACCCAGAGTTCAGCCCAGGCACAACCTCAGAGTGGGACCCCTCCCTGCGAATGGATCCTTCATTCTCAACCCCTCTCCCATCCTCTCTTACAGGCTCCGTGGCCTCCTATGAGCTGACCCAGCCGCCATTAGTGTCCGTGGCCTTGGGACAGACGTCCAAGATCACCTGCTCTGGAGACCTACTGGACAAAAAATATACATATTGGCACCAGCAGAAGCCAGGCCAGGCCCCTGTGCTGGTCATTTATGAGGACAGCAAGCGGCCCTCAGGGATCCCAGACCGATTCTCTGGTTCCAGCTCAGGCAAAATTGCCACCCTGACCATCAGCAGGGCCCAGGCTGAGGACGAGGCTGACTATTACTGTGGGTCAGCTGACAGCAGTGATTATGTTCACAGTGACACAGGCAGACAGGGAAGTGAGACACAAACCCCCTCTGTGTCTGGCTCACACTCTCCTCCAGCCCCAGGAAGACTGTGGAAAAACAGTGACAGGTCTGACCTTGTCCCTCAAGTTCTGAGACGCCTAGGCTGCCCCTCCTCCCAGCCCTCCAGGCAGGCTCTGCACAGGGGCCTCAGGAGTGATTATGCACTGGCAGGACCAGGCTGGCTCAGCGTCTGGGCTGTGGTGTTGACTTGAGGAAATAAGGCCTGAATGAAGGACAGACAGCGAGGGCAGAGACCCAGTGCTAGTGGACCCTGGATGTCCACATGGTGCTGACTGGCCACTCATCAGCCCAAATCTCTTGGATGGATGCCCAGAACCACCCAGCTCGTCAGAGCTCTGGAACCTCCAGGATCCCGTGACAACCTGGGACTCCAAACGAGGCAAAGCAGCAGAGTGGACAGAGTGGGGGCCGCCACGTCCCTCCTCTGGGCTCATCTGCCTCACACCCATGTTGGAGCCCCTGGCAGCTCCCAGCTGTGCCCTCCCTGGGGAGGGCTGTCGTTGTAGAGACAGTCCCCCCAAGGTCGTGTCCCCTGGTGCCATGTAAGAAAGTGTAAAAGCAAGTACAGAAAGGATTTAACTGTGACCAAGTACCTTTGTTGAAACTAAAAACAATAAGAAAGAAAGAACATAGGGAGAAACAAAATATCCCATACCCAGCAAGGAAAGATTCACAATACCTGAATATCAAACATTTCCTGTAAGGAATCAGAAAACTAAGAGTCAGAATAAGTACAAAAATCAGTTAATCCGAACTTGCCCTGAATGGCCCAGATGATGTATTTGATAGACAAGGACACAAAAGCAACTTCTATAGTTATAGTCCATTTGTTCCTGAGCTTGAGGAAAGATTGAACATGTTAAACGGAGACACAGGGTGTAAAAACATGATCCACATTGCATTTCTGCAAATGAAAACTACACATCTGAGATTAAAATAAACTGGATGAGACTGAGAGCACATAGATGCTGCAGAAGAAGATCACTGAACTTGATGAAATAGCAGTAGAAACTAGTCGAAATCAAACACAGACCCACCAAAGAAAAATGATGAGAGATGTCATCCCCTGCCCCAAACCCACCCATGTGGCCTGAGAAAAAGTCTCCTCTTAACAAATTTTGCCCATCGTTCCAGGGTCTAGAGCCTGACACAAGCTCAGTTTGATGAGTTTAGGACAGTTAAGCTCCAGACCCAAGTGGCCTTAGAAAGACTAAGGAGGCCAGCAGGAGGGGCTGAGGGTGTCCATGGTGACCTGGAACAGAGCTCCTGAGACCTGGTGGGCACACTGAATGGGTTTAGGGGCCCCTCAATCCAGTATGAACTCACCTTAAGTAATTACATCTGAATGGGCCCTATTTCCAAATAAGGTCCCACTCTTGGGCACTGGTGGTTAGGACTTCAACAGGCAATTGTTAGAGGTCCTACAATATGTTTGTGTATTTTGGTGTGGCCAGAAAATTTTGTCAGTGGCAAATCCCAAACCCAAGACTTTTCCCATCCATCCCATTCCTACAACCACGATTCCACCGTCTCTGCTTTCTATTAAGTGTATGGGTAAGGCTTAAGGATATTCACAGATGGAAGAGGAGTAAATATTCATGTGTGCTTAATACATATCAAGACCCATCCACATTCTTCCTACTTATTAACGTGTTTAATCACAAATAATCAATGAACAAGCATCCCCATTATATTCCATCTTACAGATGCGGAAGCTGAGGTACGAAGGACAGAGCAACTTGTTTCAAATCAGAACTGGAACGGGGCAGACCCGGCAACAAAGAGGTCCCTCCACCCGAGTTCCTGGACTTCCCCACCTTCCTGTGGCCTCTCATGGTGCTTCCAAAGCTAAGACGTGGCCTTTCCTGAATGTGCTAGGTAGTTCTCTCTCCTATTTCAGACACAAGTGACTGACATTGTGACTTTGCAGTGCTGCCCTATCCATTACCTACACTATTTGAACCACATATGTAATTTTCAATTATCCAGTAAACGCTTTTTAAAAATTAGGAGAAACCGATGCAGTTAGTTTCCATAATAGGTTTTGCGTAACTAAATTACTTGAAAATATCATTTCAATATGAATTAAATATTAGAATATTGATACATTCTACACTACACTCTCCTAAATCTTTGAAATGTGCTGGGTATTTCAGATCTACAGCACATCTCACTGCGACCACCCACATTGCATGTTCAGAAGCCTCCTTGGCTTGTGGCCACCATGTTGGACAGAGCAGGTGAGATGGATGAGGTCTCCTTGGGGTAACCGTGCCTGTAGTACATACTCACCACACCAAGAGGTGACGGAGGGTCCCAAGCCCAGAGTCTTTGCTGGAGAGGAACTGCTGAGCCATTTTCCACCAAGACCAGGGATACTGAGGGTACCTCAAAATGAGGAGATTTAATACATGTATCCATGTGACTTCTTTCCCAAAGGCAAGATAGTAAATACAACTACAATTTTAAAGGTGGTTCTGAATCGTTAAACACATTTTTATTACAGTCTGTGAAATGAATGACAATAGTCTGTACATTTTTAAGTAAATAGTGTCACATCATCCCTTTCAGTAGGGAGATCATTTCCATAAACCCCACAAGTCATAAAGTTATATTTTGTGAATAGATCTAGATGGAAAGGTGGACCATAAGGAATATTTTAGTGACATTGGATATGGATCACCTGAATACAGAACAGAGGGTGGTGACAGGAGGGGCTCAGGGGGCCTGGAGTAGGGATGGAGGAAACTGTGGGGGGTTTTGAGGGGGGGGGGGGGGGGGGGCTGAAACGTCAGGCTCTGAAGTCAGTCCCTTGGATGGAATCTTGACCCATGCATCCCTGTCTGGGGGAATCTGGGAAAATCATTTACCGTCCCAATGGTTACTCCTCCTCCTGAGACTGGGGAGAGGTTGTGCCTTCAGCAGAGGGCGCTGTGGGATTATTTGGTGCCCGGTGAGGTGCTGCAGGAAACTCACCAAGGGTCTGGCATATGCTGGGGGCTCAAAAGTTGTCATTCTATTAAAGTAGCTACATGTGTAGGAAGACGTCCATCCTGGGGGCACCAAGGGGCACTGTGGTCCTGGCTGGGACCCTCATAGGTCCATGTCCCCTGGGGAGGGCTCAAGTGCAAAGGGCATGACTGACGCTTCCTTGAAGACACCTCTCTTGAGGAGAGTAAATGTCTCTCTGAAACTCACACGTGGCCCTTCTTCTGTCCCCAGGGAGTCCCCAGCGTGAGGCCTCTGGGCTCAGGGCTCAGCCAGGAGCTGAGACACAGGATGGGGAGGGAGGAGTAGATTTGCATTCACTGCTCCTCCCTTTGCGAGCTGCAAGGGGAGAGGATAAGACAGAGACCTGGAGAGGCCAGTCCAGCTGGGCAGCCTCAGTGCAGAGCTCGCAGAAGGACCTCCCACCATGACCTGGGTGCCCTTCTACCTCCTGCCCCTCCTGTTCAACACAGGTCAGAGTGGCCCAGGGACGCGGGGGCCTCCCAGCCCCTCCCTCCAGCACAGTCCTGAGGGTCACCTGCCCAGTGTCAGTGCCGTCAGCCAACCCTTGCATTTCTGTCTGCAGGTCTCTGTGCTGTGCCTGTGCTGACCCAGGCCCCGTCTGCATCTTCTTCCCTGGGAGGCTCGGTCAAGCTCACCTGCACCCTGAGCAGTGAGCACAGCACGTACTACATTGAGTGGTATCAACAGAGAGTAGGGCAGGCCCCTAGGTATCTGATGAAGCTGACCAGTGACGGAAGCGTCACCAAGGGGGATGGGATCCCCGACCGCTTCTCAGGCTCCAGCTCTGGGGCTGACCGCTACCTGACCATCGCCAACATCCAGTCTGAGGACGAGACTGAGTATATCTGTGGTGTCAGCTATAACACTGACGGCCAAGTTGGATACCACAGTGACACAGACCTAGGGGAAGTGAGGCCAAAACCTCCCTCCCTTGCCCTCCATCCCACGGCACCAGGGTGAGCTGCTCCCTGTCTGTCCCCGGAGCCCTGACCTTTGAGTCTTCCCCTTGCAAACCCCTCACCCCCAACCTCTCCCCGAGTCACCCCCAGGGAGAGGCAGACACACATTAAAATTTAGGTGGTTTTGACGAGGTGGGATTCTGGGTCCTCCTCACAGGCCTGTGTGGGCAATGCTGGGAGAGACCAGCCCAGCCCAGGGCAGAACAGGACACTGGGAAAGGGCTGAGCTGAGATGACCCTGTCCCCAGTAGCCCCCAGGCCCTACTCCAAGTCTCTCAGGGAAGGAACATGGATCTTGGCGTGCAGAGGCGACATGCAGGTCATGGTACCAAGTGTCCTGACTTGGGTGTCCCGGGTGCAGAGCAGGCCCCTGGCCAGGACTGAGGGCTCAGCAGGAAGCACTGGGCATCTGGGGAGGGAGGATGGGAACCTTGACCCTATGGTGGGTGCAGAGCTGGGTCCTTAGGGAGTCATGAGGCGGTAAGGGTGTCTGTGGCAGTACAGACTTGGAGCTCGGCCGGGCTTCTCCTGCTGGGGAAGGGTCTCAGCTTTGGTGCCAAGAATGGCTCCCCATTCACCCACAGGACGTTGTAGGGACCGGCCAGCACCACATCCACTGGGACAGCAGCAGGGATGGGGAACGGGGATGTTGAGCTGGAGAATATGGTCCCCTTACCCCAGTCGGACCCCCAGTGACTGAGGCCTGAGAGGCAAAGTCCAGGAGCTGCCCGTGGCCTGGAGGACTCCACGTGGGCAGGAGGGGAGGAGGCGGTTGGTCTCCTGGAGAGGGATGGACAGGGGGCCGGGGGCAGGACTGGACAGGACATCAGAGCTCCGTCCTGCAGTGACCTCTGTCCCCGACTCTGCCGGGACTCACAGGGGACACAGGGCCCTCTCCTGTCACCCCATCCCGGAAAGGGTTGTTCTCTCCAAGGCTTTGCTGTGACTTTGTCCCAAACAAGGCCTCCTGCAGGTCCCACTAGTGGGGAGTGTCCTGTCCCCCTTACACTGTAGGAAAGGGAGCCAGGAGGATGGCAGTGAGTAAACCCACCCCCAGGCGGGTCCCACCACATCCACACGCCCCGGGGCCTGTGCTGCTAAGAAGTGAAGACAGCAGGAGCCTGTGACGGACGCACAGAGGGACAGACGGCACGATGTGAGGACAAGGATGGAAAAGGGAAGACGATGAGACCATACCATGCTGTGCTTAGATGGCGACCCACCAGGGAGGGATCTGCCCTTATGGACTCGATCAGAGAGAGATGGACACCCATTTGAGGGCATCTCTCTGGTCAAGGTCATAATAGGGTCAGGGTCTGGGTGAGAACTGTCAACCTGTCTGTGAAAGTGACTGATGAACAGGGTGGAGGACGGTATCTCCTCCCAGGTTGGTCCGCACCTGTGGACATAGGATTAGTGACCTTATAAGAAGAGACCAGAAACACACCCCCAACCCCGAGTGAGCCACTGAGACAGACCATCTAAGGACAGAGCCAGAAAGCACCTTCAGGGAGCCGGGAGAGAGCTTGCACTAAAAACAATATTAGGGCATCTTGATCATGGACTTCTGACCTCCAGAACCTTGGAAAATAAATTTGTGGTGTTTAAGCAACATGTGGGTGGTATTTTTCCATGGCTGCCTGAGCTGACTAAGACAGGAGCGGGGAACACTTGTGTGTAGGTGTTTATGGGAGCATTAGTCTTCATTTCTCTGAAATAAAATCCCAAGGGTACAATTCCTAGATTGTACAGTAATTGCATGTTTAGTTTCATAGTAGCTGCAAAGCTGTTTTCTAGGGTGGCTGTACCACTTTATAGTCCTACCAGTCCCTCTGCTGCACAACCAGCATTGGTTTTGCCACTGTTTTTTACTTTAGCCCATCTGCTCCATTCTGACTGGTGTGTAGCGGCAACTCTTTAGGGTGTGATTGACATTCCCCTAATGACTCATGGGGACCATCTTCCCATGTGCTCACCTGACATCTGTACATTCCCGAAAAAATGTCTGTTCACATCATTTCCCAAATTCCACTTGGATTTTAGTTGTTTTGTTTATTGATTAGTTTTGACACATTTTTTAATGTATATACAAGTTTTTTGATGAATATGTGAGTGGAAAGTATTTTCTCCCACTTTACTGGATTTTTCAACTCCATAAAAAGGACTTTTATAGAACATATGCTTTTCATTTTAATGTATTTCAATTTATCTTCTTCCTTTCACAAATCATGCATGTATTGTCAAGTCCAAGAATTCTGGCCTAGGTCTAGATAAGGAAGACATTTTTCCTTTTATTTTTAAGCATAAAATGAAAAAGAATGTATATGTTGATTTGAATCACTTTGCTGTGCACCTAAAACTAAAACAACATTGTAAATCCACTATACTTCGAAAAATAAAAATTAAGAAACTTTAAAGAAATATAATAAAAACCCTGCCAGATGTACCTGACCGGTGTCACTGTGTCTGCTGCTGGAATTCTGGGCTCTCGCAGCAGCATGACCGTGGTCCCCACAGTGCCAGCTTCCAGCACTGTCCAGCCCACCACACAATAACCTCATCCCCAGAGAGGACGCCTGTGTGTCCCCAAGGCCCAGAGGGGAGCCCAGGAGCGGACTGAGAGGTGTGTGCACATGCTGGGGCAGGGGCAGCCTTTCTCACTCAGCACCAAGAGAGTTCTGGGGACCTGGGCTCAGGCCTGGAACTCGGGTTCCAGTTTAACTCCTCCTTGGATCGCAGCTGTTCTCTGCTCAGCAGGGAGCCGGTCACAAGGCCAAAGGTGGCAGGAAGGAGATTTGCATGAAGACACCCCTTCTGAGCATAAGAGAGGCCCAAAGGCCCCACCCCAGCTGTGAGCTCAGAGGCAGAGCTCGGGGCGTCCCCACAATGGCCTGGACCCGTCTCCTGCTCCCCCTCCTCACTCTCTGCACAGGTGCTGCCCCCAGGCTCAGCCCGAAAAGTGACCAGAGCTCAGCCTGGTCCAGAACTTCAGCTCAGCACAGGAGCTGCCGCAGGGGGCATGAGGCTGCAGGGATGAGACCCTCTTCCTCACCCTCACTCTCCTTTCCTCTCTTGCAGGTTCTGTGGCCTCTTCTGCGCTGACTCAGCCACCTGCGGTGTCTGTGTCCTTGGGACAGACGGCCAGGATCACCTGCCAGGGAGACAGCTTAGGAAGCTATTATGCTCAATGGTACCAGCAGAAGCCAGGCCAGGCCCCTGGGCTGGTCATTTATGAGGACAGCAAGCGGCCCTCAGGGATCCCAGACCGATTCTCTGGTTCCAGCTCAGGCAAAATTGCCACCCTGACCATCAGTAGGGCCCAGGCCGAGGACGAGGCTGACTATTACTGTGAGTCAGCTGACGGCAGTGATTATGTTCACAGTGACACAGGCAGACAGGGAAGTGAGACACAAACCCCCTCTGTGTCTGGCTCACACTCTCCTCCAGCCCCCAGGAGGACTGTGGAAGAACAGTGACAGGTCTGGCCCAGTTCTGCCAGATCTGAGCTCCCCAGGCTGCCCCTCCTCCCAGCCCTCCAGGCAGGCTCTGCACAGGGGGCTCAGGAGTGGATTATGGCTGGCGGGACCAGGCTGTCTTAGTGCTGTCTGGCCAGGTCGGGAACTTCGGACAGAGGCCCTGTATGGAAGGACAGACAGAGGGACACATCCCTCCAGTGATAGTTTTCCCCACAATTCCATGTCGTGGTCACTGGGCCCCTCTTGGCCCAACTGTCTAGGATTTGACCACAGAATGTCCCATCCCATCTGATGCTGAAGCCCCAGGCCCCCATGGCAGCTGGGATTCTGAATGGAGCACACCAGAGCAGTGGGCATTCTAGCATCTACCTCCTTCTCTCTTCTGGCCTCGTCTACTCATCCACAGCTGCTGGGAGCCTGTGACAACTCACAGCAGTGCCCTCACGGGGAAATGCTGTTGGTGCAGAAAATGGCCCCCCACCCCAGTTTATCCCCCTGGTCAGAGAGGGTCAGGTGAATGATGCCTGAGGCCACCATCCCCAGGCTCTGACTCAGTTTAGGATGACCCAAATGGGCCAGCTTTAACTCTCCTGCAGAACCCCGGGTCCTCATTTGTGTGACCAAATCCCGGGTCCCTCCCCTCTGCCCAGTCTCCCCTCCTCATCTCCTTCCAGATTTCCAGGACATGCACTTAACGTCTCAGAATCAGCTTGCAGGGAACCCGATCTAAGTTAGCCAGCTGTTCCCAACATGCTCATCAGGGTCCCGAGGAGGTTATATATACCCGCAAGTCTCTGTTTTCCCACCTAAATCCACAATGTGCTCTTCAAAATCCCCAGTTAGATCTGATTGCCCTTGAATTTTTATAAAAAGGTACATTGGAGACCAATAAGCTACAGTGAGAATGTTTGTGAAAGAAACTGGCAAAAAACGATTTCTCTGTCCAAAGTGATGACTGAAAACTGTCACCACTATCATGCTGTCCTATGATTAGGTGTTTTAAGTGATGGGGACCACCAAGAACATCTATTCTGTTTCAAAGTAGGGCCCCAATTTCACAGTAGACGCCCCTGTTATACCAAAGCCTTAGTTTTCATCTGAAACAGGATCCAGGGAGGAACTGGGTTGATTTTTGCACAGCTATTGACCCATCAGTTGGCTGGATATGTTTCTCCTTCTTGTAAAGAAATAAAACCTTGACATCCTACAATGCATGGCTTTCCTCACAAAAAAAAGCCAGTGTCCAAACTCTTAGACGTACAATGAGGAAATTTCTGGGTGACCTTGGAAAACAGTGAATTTACACCCAAAGACCATTTCCCTGGCAAATGCTTAAACAAACATGTGACAACCTGAACAATGGCACATAGATCTCCTGCTTCACACAGAATTCTAGATTCTCCAGGGGAAAGGTCCACATTAGAAATATTAAAATGCCACCTGTGGATTTTTTTTAAAAGAAAAGCCGAAAGTTTCCTCCAAGTGCACTCCTGTCTTGCATGAGGGTGGATGTCTAATTTGGAGGATGGAAACCACATGGGAAAAAATTACGTTCAAAAAGTATTGACAATTACAGATTATTAAATGTACAATTAACTTGTCACACTAATGGACCATGAACCAGCAACAGATGGTATTTTATGCACCGAATCCCTAAGACCTAAGCAGTAATTCCAGGATTCCTCCAGAGGCGAGATCATGAAAAGGCTGCCCTCGTTGCTTTGAATCTGGAGTGTGTTGTCCTTGGGCTTTCTGTTCAGCCCCACGGGGAGCAGGGCATTGTCAGCCTCCCAGGTGTCAGACGGCCCCAGGGGAGGTGCAGCAGCGCCCCCAGAGGCAGTGGGGAGAACTGACAGGAAGAATCTACAATTCAGGCTGAGAATTTCCCACAGCCCCCTCCTGGCCCAGTCTGGTTCTAGAACACTCAGAAGAGGCTATTATTTAGGGATTAAGACATCTCTCTTCTCTCTAGCCCCCAAGTGAACTTGGCGTTGTCATTCCCTCTCTCAGCCCCTGCCTTTCCCTGTCAAGTGAGCTCCTCGAGTCCTGGGCTCCCAGTCACAGAAGCAAATCTGCAGACATTTATGGAAGGCAGTGACTGGTCAGCCACACGGGACAGTAGACAGGGCTCAGGACCAGAGGCACATGCAGCAGCTAAAGCCCCAGCACGGCTGCATGGTGGATACTTGGCAGGGGAGAGGCACTAGTAACCCCCCCGAAGGTCTTCAGCCCTCAGGTAAAGTAGGGAAGGCCGAGGGGTTTGTCTCAACCCACCTGTGTCAATCCTGTTCCTGCTCCCTGGGCTCCAGCCTGTGCTAAGCAGCTGCAAAGACCCGGATTTATTACGTGTGAATCCCCTTTGCTCCACCTGAACACATGTCACTTCTACCCCTCAAATTCTTAACTCAGAGAACATATTACACTGGCCCTGAGCTGGGTTTACATCCCAGATCCCTCAAGTTTGCCCTGTCCTTTCAGATCCTCCAACACACCCGACTCCTCCCCGCTGGCCAAGTCTCAGCCCTTCCCACGCTCACTTCTTACTACTTGGTTCTCCCCAGTCCTGAGGGCAGCTCCAGAGTTACCCCTTTGGGGAGGCCCCCAACCTCTGATTACAGAACAGCCTGCCTGTCATTGTCTGTCTCTTCTCTGGATTAATTATCCCCACAGCACACACCACGATGGGGTTCTTTCCCCATCACTAGTTTCGTTAACTGATGCATTTGTGCTCAGACTTTTCCTGCTTGGTCGGAATACATTTTTTTTTTTTTTAATTTCAGGACTCACTGATGAAAAGCAGAGGCATGAACAGGTGGGACCTATTGTAGTCTCACCAAGATAAGTTCTCTGGGTGATCACAGATTCCACGTGGGACCCAAGATCTTGCCAGCATCCAGGTCCCTTGTCCCTATATGTTGGCCTTGCTTTCATTCTTGTGGATGACAGACCTCAGGATGGCTGCTGCAGCTCCAGCTATCACACCATGTTCAAGAGGAAAGGATCTGCGTCAATTCCTGCTATTTCTTTCCTTTACAAGAGCAAGAGTTCCCCGAGATAAACTCCAGCCAACTGACCCTTACATCCCATAGAACAGTGCTGGGCCACCTAGTCAAACCTGATAGCCAGAGACCTGAAAGAAGCAAGTGTTTGGCTTTTAAATAAACACTGCAGGCAATGTGTAGGTGACCGTGGTGGAGATTCTCTGCCAGGTGTGCAAAGCCACTGTGTCTCCTGCACTGCCCCCCACACAGGATGGAAACACCCTTCAAGCAGGGACTGTGTCCCGTTCATGCTGAATTCCCTGGAGGGAATGTGCCAGCCCAAAGTGGGTCTGAATGAACATTTCCCAGTGGGTGTGGTCCTAACCATGCCTTTGGAACTGTAGCCGCCACCCCGCATCAGGCCCATACCCAAAGCTGGCACCAATAAGAGTCACCCCCTGAGGGAGGTGTCCCCACTGCCCATCCCACCTGCGTGACCTCCCACCACGCCACAGACAGGAGCAGGGATGCCTCCGTGAGCCCAGCCCCCTCCTCTTCCAGATGAGCCTGTTCATATCTTCACGGGTAATCTCAGCCCCTCGTGCCAGGACGTGAGGCAGACAGAGCCATGGAGAGGGAGTAAATCCTGATTGGGGTCACCATCCCTGGATCAGGGAAATCACCACCTGAGCAGTGGGCTCTGAAATCTATACCGAGAACTGAGTCTCCGCCTCCAGTGTGGAGAAGCCACCAGGGGGCAGCAGAGGTAGCCTGGCAGAGCCACCTGGAGGAGTGGTGTCCTGGGCATCAGGGCTCCAGTGCAGGGGAAGGAGTAACCAGGACCTCACACCTGATGACAAGTGTCCTTCCGTTTCTACAGTGTCACCTTCACTCTCAAGTACATGTTTCTGTCTCCGTGTGTCCCAAGTCCTGCTCTTGGAGACGGTGCCTGTTTCCTTGCCCCACACCCACTGCCAGCCCACCTAATACTGCTAAAAAGCCACCGCTGTCCAGAAATGCTCATCCTCCCTGTGACCACACGTTGCCACTCCCTTCCCTGTGCTCGGAGCCCCTGTCCTCCAGACACAGCTGCTCCTACTCCCTGGAAGCTCTCCCACTGCCCTCACACCTGTCCCTCCGCTTACCCCTTACAGGGAAGGGGGGAACCAGAAATTTCCACACTTCCTGTTTCCCAGTGTCTGACACACAGCAGTCACTCAATCAGCTTTCCGTAATTTTGATGTTTATGACATATATATTTTCCCAGCAACTGAAGGGAAATGGATTAGGACTGACATTCCCTTGCAGAGTTATTAAACCCTGAAGCCCCCTCTCATTCTCTCACAGAGCAAACATTTCTTTTAGCCCCTTGTCTGTTCCTGTCCCTGGGGCACGACGGGGACACTACAGCCCCAGGAGCTCACAGCCCAGGGCAGACACAGCACCGCAATGGCCTGGAACACTCCATGTGCTTTGTCAAACTGTGAATTTTATTCAGTCTTGGGCCCAGGAGCTGTGATAGGGGGGAGAATCCTGTACAGTCTAAGCCTCTTAGTGTTGCCCGTGGAATGAGTTCAGAGAATACAGACCCACCTCTGAGCTCTCAGTGGCCAGGCCCGTCCAGGAGTGAGGCCAGGACTCAGACTGGGCTGGAGATGTCACCCCCAGACTATGGGACAGCAGGTGGAGGAGGATCCCCCGGGCCGAGGCGGGGTCTGCAGGGGCCACCCCTCCCTCTCTGTGTCCCTGGGGACTGAGCCCTTCTCTGAAACCACAGAGCTCCCCAGGCAGACCCCCTGGGCTCCGGCTGATTCGCACCCCCGGCAGCTCTCTCTCCAGCAAGGGGATAAGAGAGGCCTGGGAGGCGCCCTGCCCAGCCTAGGCCTCGGGGAGCAGACTCGGGGTGCCTCCACCATGGCCTGGACGCCCCTCCTCCTCGGCCTCCTGGCTCACTGCACAGGTGCTGCCCCCAGGGTCCGCCCACCCCTGGCCCAGGGCTCGGGGACAGGCCTGGCCCTGACTCTGAGCTCAGCAGGGCGCTGCCCGTGGGGACAGGAGACTCCTGGCCCTGCCGCAGGATGGGGGGCTGGAGGGGCTGAAATCTCCCCCCTGTGCTCACTGCTGTGTGTGAGCCCCGAGGGGCTGCGCCTGCCAGAGAAAGTGGGGGGCGTTCTCATTTGTTCAGAGGCTCCATCCACCAGCCAGGCCCATGGGCCCCTGGGGCTGAGACTGACGGGAGGGGGCGCCCTCGGGGCCCAGAGAATCTTTGGAGCTTAGTCCAGGCCAGGCAGGTGGGGGTCTCTGGACATGGGTTCTTCACCTCCAGCCCACCTGTCCTTTTCTCTCCTGCAGGCATTGTGTCCTCCTATGAACTGACTCAGTTGCCCTTGGTGTCGGTGTCCCTGGGACAGACAGCCAGGATCACATGTGGGGGGAACAACATTGGAAGTAAATATGTTCAACGGTACCAGCAGAAGCTGGGCCAGGCCCCTGTGCCGGTCATCTATGGTGATGGCAACCGTCCCTCGGGTATCCCTGACTGGATATCTGCCTCCAAATCGGGGAACATGGCCACCCTAACCATTAGCGGAGTCCGGGCTGAGGACGA